AAGACACTCATGAAAGAGGACTTCCAGAACTGCTTCAGAAAGTGGCAAGAATGATGGGATAAGTGTGTTCAAAGTGAGAGGGAGTACTTTGAGGGGGATTAATGGCAATGTGTCTTTTACTGTAATAATTTAAAAAAAATTTTAAAACATTCACCATATTTTATGATCACACCTCATAAATCTGCAGAAACAGACACTTGAAAGCTGCTTTATAAGGTTGATTTGTGAGGTCAAGAATCTGAACAAGTATGAATACACTTGGGGAGAAGCAAAGATGAGTAGGGGGACAAAACAACTCTGGGTTGGGGGTGCGAAATTGAGACATCTCTGATGGGGAGGTGGGTAAGTACGTAAGTTAGTGGTGAATTAAATGGCAGTTTGCAGGAAGGAATTTGAAATTTAGATAATTGGGGGTGGGCAATGGCAGAGTCACCAAAAATCCTGCAATTAATAATTCAGTGATTCAACCTGAATGACTGAAATAAGTAGTTCTTTGTTGAGCATTTTAAGGGAAAAATTATGTGTTATGTTTTTTGCAAATATGGTAACTTGTAAAGTTCTCAAGACACACCCTTCACAATTCTCATGAGTTGGTCAGTCAGTCTAGTACACAGTACAAACTCAGTTAAGTATTGAGTGTGCAAAAGGGTATATACATAGATGGATTACATCTTTGTTTAGGAATAATTACTTTAAGCTTAAAAGGGACTGACTTGTAGTTTATGCCAGGTTTGAAGAAAAATTAATTTCAGCCCTAAGTAAATTTTTTAAAGGAAAAACAAACAAGAATTCCCTAAAATGGAGTCTGATTTAAATGGTGTGTTGAAGTAGCAACTGTCCCCTAACCACCCAGCTCACCATTGCTATAAGGCAATGGATAATCAAATTTTCTTCAACCTAGAACCTAATTAGCTCCTAAATGACAGAAACAAATTTAGGATAGGTATACAGAAACTCCTATAATCAGCTTTAGGAGAGGGTGAACTTTAATGCAGATGAAAAATGAACTTTTAGAAAGAAAAACTCTATCAATCCCAATATATTAGGTCACTTTAAACTCTATGGTCAATAATAAAAATTCTTAAGTTTAGAAGTTTACAAGAATTTGATAGCAGCTTTGATTTCAGTCATCTCACAGAAGTAATATCATAGATATCAATTGTCTCATTCTACACTCTAGTAATTGTCAACATAGGTGTACATTTTGAATACTGATGAGATGATCAAAACCTACTTCTGGGATCCATAGAATACAACCAACTTATGCTTGCTAGGCAGTACATATCCAATGAGCACCCAAACACATCCCAATAATTCTAAAATCTTACTAGGTGTAGTAGATGCTACTGCATTTACTCCAGAGTATCTAAATCCAAATCCCGAAGTTGTACCATGATGCATTCCATTCAAAGTTGTTATGGCTCCAACTGCAGAGAAGAACATAATATTATATATTATACTTTTAATCAAAAACTGAGGAATTTATACAGTATTTTTCTTCTGAAGAGTCTGTTAGAAACTTTTGGCTAAACTTAAAAAAACTATGGTTAATCCATTTATATGAAATGTCCAGAAAAGGCAAATCTATGGAGACAGAAAATAGATTAGTAGTTGTCTGAGGCTGAGAGATCTTATTGGGGTGACAGAATATGTGCTAAAACTTATAGTTTCACAATTAAGTAAACTTATAAAAAAACACTGACTTGTACACTTAAAATAAGTTAATTTTATGATGTGTAGTTAAACTTCATTAAAGTTAATTAAAAAAAAACTGTGGTCTAGATTTCCTTTCACTTTTTAGGCAAGGACAACAAAGACAAGAAGGAAAAAAGCCTATCAAAGATCTGAGGGCAAATCTTTGCTTGAAAATGGAATTCATTCAATAATTTTAACTCCCAACCTCAGACATAGTGATATTCACAAAATCTGTTGTAGTTGAGAAGGATATTTCTTACATATACGAAAAGGTTTCCAGAATCTCAGTCATATCTTAAAATTGGAAGTCTACTTGGTAGAAAATACAACTCAAGTAGTAACCAGCAATTTTAACTGTTTAACCTATGCCAGGGGTCAGCAAACTTTTGAGACTGAAGAGCAGCCAGGGGTCAGCAAACTGCAGCTTGTGAGCCACATGCGGCTCTTTGGTACTTACATGTGGCTATAAATTAAAATTGAAAATGAAAATAAAACTATCATAGTTTCATTTATAAAATTTTTATAGGATATTATTCACATAATGGTGATTATGTGAAAATATATTTATGGCTCTCAAATAATTTTTAAATTGTTGTGAGGGACAGAATTGGCTCTTCCAGGGGTCAGCACACTTTTTAAATGGAATGTACCCAAAGACCTGCATGTGGCTCACGAGCCGCAGTTTGCCGACCCCTGACCTACGCCAACTGCACAAGAGGATGGGGATGGTAGGCTATTAATTTTCACTCTCGACTAAGCATCACTAATTCCTGGCAAGTTTTATTCCCAGAATGGTGACAACCTTGCTATAATAGGTCTTTGGAAGGACCATATTACAGCTGGGAAGACAATAACAAAGTCTAATGATGAACACCATGGCCCTAGGAAGATGTTTCAAAAACACAGTCAGCTTCTATAGACCTGTAAAAAAAGAATTGCCTAATGCATATGCAGAATTCAATATTCTCAACATTTGCTATTACTCTACTAATGGAAGATGTGTAGCAAAGAAGTTGGGGTTATGAGAAAATTAATGTCCCACTTTTCAGCTCAAAGCATCCAGATGTTCCCTTCAAGGGGAGAGGCCATAAGGCATCACACAGTGTCAACTAACACCCCAAACTACAACTGGTTCTTGTCATATAACACTTCTAATAGGTAAACTGCAAGGACAGCAACCTAGTCTATACAGAAGAATACATTATAGCAATGCTCCAACTTTTATTTCCTATTTTATCTTATTCACATGGATAATAAGACTTCTTTCCTTCAGACATACTTGACAAAACTCCCACTTTTCCTATTCCCGTTAGCTTCAAGAAGTTATTTCAAAACATTACAATGTTAATGAATTATATGCTTAAAATTATCATTTTGAGCTGTAATAATCATGTTAATATAAAATTCACAGTTAAAGCCATGACAATTAGGTTCTTAAACAAACCTACTATTGATATCAGCAGTTACAGATGAGTTAAGCATAATGATATTTTATGAGATGCAGGAGATCCATAGCTTATATTGGAAAATTGAGTTAAGTGGCCTGATTCAAAATAATAGTATTTTCTTTGCAACCAGTAACTTACATGAGGGACCAGCAGCAGCAGTAGAAGTGGAAACATTTGTCCTTGATGTAAATGACATGGTGCTTGAACTAGTAGTAGTGGCAACAGCAGATGCTGGAGTCAAACCTAAAAATCAAGGTTACAAGCAGACAAATATGTCACACTGAAAACAATAAGACATTGTTGAAAGAAACTGAAGAAGACACAAAGAAATAAAAAGATATTTTGTGTTTATGGGTTGGAAGAATCAACATTGTTAAAATGTCCATATTACCTAAAGCAATATAAAGATTCAATGCAGGGCCAGCCGAGTGGTGCGTTGGCTAAGACCTGGCTTGGGATGCCAGAGGGCCCCGGTTCGGATCCCACATATGAGGGCCAGTGACACTGCCCTCTACAGCTAAGATGCTGAACAACAGCTTAACCTGGNGGGCAGTGTCACTGGCCCTCATATGTGGGATCCGAACCGGGGCCCTCTGGCATCCCAAGCCAGCTCTTAACCATCGCGCCACTCGGCCGGCCCTTGCTGAGCATTCTCATAACCATGTTTGGAACTCTGCATCTGATGGGTTGTTTATCTCTGTTTCACTTAGTTCTTTTTCTGAAGTTTCGTTCTGTTCTTTTATTTGGGACATGTTTCTTTGTCTCTCCATTTTGGCTGCTTCCCTGTGTTTGTTTCTACGTATTAGGTAGGGCTGCTATGTCTCCATGTCTTAGTAGAGTATCCTTGTATAGTAGATATTCTGTGGGTCTCAGTGGCGCAGTCTTTCTGGTCACCCGATTCATGCACTCCAGGTGTGTCCCTTGTGTGTGTCCTCCTCTTGTAGTTGAGCCTTGGTTGATAATTGCACATCAGTGGGAGGGACTGACCCTTGTGCTCATTGGTTGTGAGGACTGGCCATGACTACAGTTGAGGAGTTGTGGTACAGGGGCTGATCCTACAGAGCAGGATGTGCCTCAGCAGGACTCTGTTGTCTGCCCAATCTGCCCCTTGGGTGTGTTGTACTTGGAGATGGCTGGGTGATGCTCTAGCTCACTTGGAAGCTGGCCACTGAGGGCACCAGCCCCGAGACCATCTTGGTGGGGATCCACTGTAGGTCTACTTCAGCCACAGCCCATGCTCCGCCTGGAAGCCAAAAAGAAATCCGCAGATGGCTGCTGCTCATGCTGTGCTTGGAAGTGCCTTGAGAGGCCAAGCCACAAAACAAGGCTGGCTGCCACTAATGCTGGCTCAGGGATGCTCTGCCAGAGGTAGAGGACATGCTCAAGGCAGATGCTGCTTATTGGGTTCCATGAACCTTTAAGCCACCCTAGGAAAGTCTGCAGCTTGAGCTAAGGTAAGCAGTCTCACAAAAAAGCCACTGGAAGCAATCTTGGTATGCCTGAAAGTTGGGCAGGACCAGGTCTCAAATCGCCAGGGTGTGCTGAGTGAGCAGCAGAGACTCAGATATGGCGGCCGCCTATGTTCGCACGTTGGGAAGGAGGAGGGCTCAGCAAAGAAACCATGACCTCTGCCAGCTCCCAGTCTCCACCAGCTCTCCCGTCCAGGAGAAAGCCGCCTCTCCTGGCCCCATTCCAAGCCAGACAACTCAGTCACCCACCATTTGTCCCTGCCACCTTCTTAGCTGCTGCCCCAGCACTGGAGCTCAGGGCCAATGATTCCGTTGGTGGGTAACTCCATGCACATATCCCTTTAAGAGGAGCGCCTGGAAGTGCAGCTACGCTCAGTCTCACTCAGTCACAGTCTCCACTGGTTTTCACAACCAAAAATTATAGGGACTTGTCTCCCCTGCATTGAAACCCTGGGCAGGGGTGGGGCTGGGATCTCTTGCTCTTCTCGGGGTAGAGAGGGTCCCCTACAGCCGAACTACCCCTTCCTATCTTTAATGGTCACATGTGGGTGTGGGACCAGCCCCTTCGGCATCTCTGACCTTCCTACCAGCCTGGAGGTGGCTTCTTATGCATGTCCTTAGTTGAAAGGCTTCAGTTCAACTTGATTTTAGGCAATTCTTAATAATAATGGTTGTTTTGTAGATAAGTTGTAATTTTGATGTAGCTGTGAGAGAAGGTAAGCACGGCGTTTACTTACTGCATGCACCATCTTGGTTGTTCTCCTTATGCTATTTTAAAAAAGGTATAAATTAGCTCTGGCAAAGGAGATAATATTTAAATAACAATAACATTTCAAGTAATACCAAAAGAAGCAATGGATTTGAAAATAAAGGTTCTATTACAGTCTGATTTTGCAAGTTATAACTTTGGTCTAAATTAATACAGTCAACTCTATGTATCTGTGTATTAAAAGGGAAGCATGGTTCTATAAATAATAGAAAATAATTGCATATCAAATTTGGATTTGCATTTAAATACATTTCATTCTGATGGTCTTAAAATCATTATACGAGATAATGAAAACTATCCTTTCAAAGATTCTACTATCCAATTTTCCTATCCTGTCTCCAATCAACAAAAGTGTATCCATGTTGGGAATGCACATCATTACCTTCTCAGACTCATACAAAAGATGACAGTGATAACAAGCAAACTTCTCTCAAAACTTGCTGATTATACGTGGGGTGGAGAATAATCCCAAATGGTTACACAAGGTGTGATCAAACAACATGGTGAATGCTTACATCAAAATATATATAAGGGCCGGCTGAGTGGCTCAAGAGTGTGAGCTCTGAGCAACAGGGTCACCGGTTTGATTCCCAGCCCGAGCTGAGCTGCCGCTGAGCTGCCAACAGGTGGCAGGATGGCTCATCGAGGCAGCCATGACAGCCCAACTAAAGACACTCATGAAAGAGGACTTCCAGAACTGCTTCAGAAAGTGGCAAGAATGATGGGATAAGTGTGTTCAAAGTGAG